AGATTTCTAAAAATAGTGAAATGTATTTCAAAACGTGTTGCTTTTGGGATTGGCACTGCAGCACAGACTCTTAAAGCACCACTTCGGATGCCTACATCGCATACTGGAGTGCCTGGTTTGAGTCCCAACTGTGGTGTTCATCTGATCCAGCTTCCAGCTAATGTGCCTACCAGGCAGTGCACATGGCCTCAATACACGGGTTCCCATCTCCACAGCGCCGACTGAAGGATTCCACACCCCAGCATCAGGCTGTCTTAGCTCAGGCTATTGCAGGCACCTGGGAAGGGAACCTGTGAATGAAGGACCTCTCTGCTGACTCTCCTCTCTCGCTCTCACATACACACACACACACAATGAATATCACAGAGACAATAACTACAGCCTGGGACCATTCCACGTGGAGACAAACATCCCCAAACCCAGCTCTCTGGGACCTGGTAGGATCACTGCATAGGAACAGGCAAGGCTCTTCCCACTAGCTTGGGGCCTGTGGAGGGTGCTGGGAACAGGATTTCCAGGAGGTAACCACGTCTGGAAGATATGGTTAGCTCTGAGGTCCCTGGAACCAAAGGGCACACATAAAGCTTCTTAAAATTCAGGGTCAGGGCCCAGCGCTGTGACCTAGCGGCTAAAGTCCTCACCTTGATCCCATATAGGCACCAGTTCTAATCCCAGCAGCTCCAGGTAGCTCCACTTCCCATCCAGCTCCCTCCTTGTGGCCTGGGAAAGCTGTCGAGGACGGCCAAAGCCTTGGGACCCTGCACCCGCGTGGGAGACCTAGAAGTAGTTCCTGGCTCCTGGCTCCGGATCGGCACACCACTGGTGGTGTGAATCATTGGATGGAGCACCATCCTCTCTGTCTCTTGTCCTCTCTGTATATCTAACTTTGTAATGAAAATAAATTAAATCTAAAAAAAAACTTTTTTTTCAAAGTGTCTATACACATAATGCAACTGAATTCTACTTGGGCAAGAGACATGCTTATGTGTACAAAGAGTATCACGCCAACTCTGGGCTTCCAATATAAGGAAGCCAGAATAATCTGGGGAAAGGTAACTTGTGGTCACACCAACAGTGGCATGGTTTGTGTCAAAATCTGAAGCAACCCCCCCGGCCCCCCAAAAAACTGAAGCGACCCTTCTGCAAAGGCCATTGGACACAGGATCTGTGTGATACTACACCCTTCAATGATTTAACTACCAAAAGGTAATTTTTTTTTTTTTTTAAACTCAAGGTCTTGCCTGTGAATCTGCATTCATAATAACTTTCAAATACTCCATTAAAAACAAATAAAGCAAAAGGTACAAGAGGTTGCAAAACAGTACCAACACAGTATTTCACCTAGATACCCCTTCTCAACAGAAGCCCAGTGTTAGCATTCTTGCCCTCAAAACCTTCAAAGGACCCCAGTGTTGAGAGTAATTTGGATGATCTATTCCGTGTGTAGGCATTACCCAATCAAGTCCTGACAGCTTCCCCCCACTCCCATTCCTGGGTTCAATGGCTTGCATTCAGAAGGCCAAGCTCTGGCCTTCCTACTCATTTTCTGAGAAACATTATGTACTTGCCTCAGCTTCTGCTCACTCAGCCAACCCAAGCTTTGTTTCCCCTGTGGACCCCGACTCCACCTCTTTCCAGGCAGACTACCTCTTCATCTTCAAACCATCGCCCACTAGTATCTATATACATTCCTCCAATATCCTTACAGAAGTTATCTTTAAAACGTATCTAGCATTTAACCATTAGCCCAACCTAAATGTAAATATGCATGTTCCAGAATGTACTATAATTTTGTAAATGTTAGGGATTTTTGCTGTTTATATAATACACTGCTTTTATAGAATGCTTTACAGGTGACCATTCCACCTCGCAAGTTCTCAGTATTTATGTTGGTGACCTAAAAATAGGGGCTTCAGTAATGATGTGCAAAACTTCCAAAGTTCATCCCTGAAGTAAGGATACCCTTTCAAAAATAGCTGAATGTGGGGGAAAGGTCAAAACTTCACAACAATCAACTCCAACAACTCACGATGTGACCTATCAAATGGTTACTGATAATGGAAGAGCTTCCCATGGCCAAAGCTGTACTCACCTAAGCAAACACTATGGTATTCGACTGAGTCACACTCAGCCTTTCAAACACATAGAACTTTTCTTTCCCCCTTGAAGTATTAAAAATTAAGAGTATCTTTTAAAGATGTATTTATTTTGAAAGAAAAGAGACAATGAGACACAGAGACCTTCCATCAGCTGGTTCACTCCCCAAATGGTAGCAATGGCCCATCCTGGGCCAGATTTTCTTCTTCCAGATATCCCATGTGGGTAGCAGGGGTCCAAACGTTTGATCCACCTTCCACTGGTCTTCCCAGGCCTTTAGTAGGGAGCTAGATTGAAGTACAGCAGCTAGGACACAAATCTGTGCCCATACAGGATGCCAACATTGCAGGTGACAGCTTTACCTGAAGTACCATAATGCTAGTTTATTAAAAGATAGCAGATCCAGATCAAATGAGGTTTGGAAGCTTCCTGTACCAAAAGTTGCTGTTTTTAATACAATTATCTCAGAGTTCGCTTTTAGTTACTGTGGATTTTCCTATATAGGTATCCTACACAAACAAGCACTGCCATCTCTTTCCAAGTGGCCAGTTTACTAAAATCCTCAGGTGCAAAGATCATGAGGAACTAAAATCTGAATTTGGTGGGTGGTGTTGTGGTAAAGTTGCCATTTGTCACATCAGCATCCCAGATTAAGAGTCCTGACTGCTCCACTTCTGATGGAACTCCCTGCTAGCAGTGTGGGTCAGCAGCGGAAAAGAGCATAAGGGTCTGGGCCCCTGCCAACTAGGTGGGAGACCTAGGTGAAACTCCTTGTTTTGGCCTGGTGATTATGGTCATAAGAGGAATAGCCAGCAGATGAAGGACCTCTCTGTCTCCCCCACCTTTCTTATGTTTTCAAATCATTTGTTTTTTTAAATAAAAACTTGATACAAACAACGCAAATTTCTATGAACAAAAGCATTTTAAAATTTTGGTATCTAATTCAATTCTGACATTTAAATCACAGTAGGATAAAAATTTTTTTTCAAAGATTTATTTTTTTATTGGGCAGTCAGAAATACAGAAAAATTTTCTGTCCAATGACTCACTCCCCAAGTGATGGCAATGGCTTGAGCTTCACTGATCCAAAGCCAGGAGCCAGCAACTACCTCCAGTGTGGGTGCAGGATCCCAAGGCTTTGGGCTGTCCTCGACTGCCTTCCCAGGCCACAAGCAGGGAGCTGGATGGGAAGGGGGCTGTCAGGATTAGAACCGGCACCCATATGGGATCCTGGTGCATTCAAGGTGAGGACTTTAGCCCCTAGGCCACCATGGCTGGCCCAGGATGAAAATTTTAATGCAGATTCAAGTTCTTTATACATCTTGCCAGTATCATGGATTCTTACTTAAATAAGAATTTCTGAGTTTGCAAAGAACCTATAAATTTTATAGTCTTATTTTAAAAAAGCAGCACCTCAGGTCCAGTGTGGTAGCCTAGTAACTGAAGTCCTCGCCTTACATGTGCCAGGATCCCATTATGGGTGCTAGTTTGTGTTCTGCATGCTTCACTTCCCATCCAGTTCCCTGTTTGTGGCCTGGGAAAGCAGTTGAGGATGAGCCAAAGCTTTGGGACCCTGCATCCACGTGGGAGCCATATGTACTGGCTTTGGATCAGATTGGCCCAGTTCCACGAAATTAGGAATGAACCAGCAAATGAAAGATCTGTCTCCAAACAAACAAAAAACCTCCAGCACCTGAGTTGTTTGATATGTTGACTCAAACTAGTTGACATGTTCAAGAGGCAATATGTTAAGTAATGACGCAACTTAGGTGATAATTCATATAATTTTAGACATGATAAATAATGCTGTACATACAAAAATGATTACAACATTGTAACATAATGACCTCAGCCCTAAGATGTGCTCTTTTACAGAAGCGTCTGAGGTCTGCCTCTGAACGCGCAGAGCACCCTGGAGCCTTACGATCGACAAAGAAACAAAGCTACAGAATGGCTGTTCCAAACAAGTCAGCAACCTAACAGAGCTTATCCAAAACCAAAGGTATTTTCAGTTTATTATGGTAATCGACAATAAGAGACTCAACTTGGCTTATAAAACTTTTCCCATTTTTTTAAGCAGATGCTTTATTAAATCTATTGCTTGGAAGTGCTTCTGATTTTTCTGAAACTTTTATGATTAAAACTGGAATAGTCTGCACTATTTCAGAATATAAAGTCACAATAAATACAACCTCCTAGCGTTGATCTTTGTTGCTGTAACTCTAAATTATAGTATGTATTTCTGACCTAAATCAATTCCCCCAAACAAAAAACCCAACAACAACAAAACCCTGGAAATCTAGTACAAATTAACTCAGTTAAATTTGCACAGTTTAGAGTATTTTGGTTATACTTTGGACTTGAATGTTCATTGTATTATTTAAAAACAAGGTCTTAACATTAACCATATTTTGAAACAGGTTCAAGTCTTTAAACATTTCATCAAAATGTGTATCATAAAAAAAACTACACACTGATTTCAAATTTTGCACCAAAAAACTTAACTCGACTTTCAAAATCTTGTTGAAGCACCCTTATACACTCTATACATACATACATTAGTGAAAATGAAAAACAGTTTTTCTGGGTAAAATATTGATGTTGGGTACAACTCAAACAAAAACCAAATTGTTAACTCAATGTCATCAATAACTTACCCAATTCCATTAACCTAAGCATTTTCTACTTTGTGTTACTTTCATGTTAACAGTCAATTATGTACCCCTTCTAACAATTATAGAACAAAAACAGCCTGACTACAGGAGAAAAAAAATAAATTCTGTGCCATACCCTCGTTAACTACCAAGCTATACTCAAACAATATAAGTTCAGAAACAAATAAAAAGAGGCAATATAAAAACCTCCTCAAATGTCAAAGAAATTAGACTAGTTTAGTTTTATTGAATATCTTCTTTAATAAGACATTACAGCACACAACTGAGCCCCCAGTGTCAGTTAAACATGGGGATGCACGTTCAGATGAAGAAAAAGGAAACAAGTTTAATCTTAACCCCATTCCTTTTCGCAACTGATGGGAATACAGAAAAAAGAGAACATTTCTCTCTCAGTGTACTTTTTTAGCAAGTCTTTTGAAGACACCATAAGGTTTATAATGAACTTTGCTGTGATCTGTTAGAGAATCTTCAAACCAAATTACAAAGATGTTAAGATACGCTTGCAATTTTCACCTTCTATCAGATTAGTAAAATCCCTTTTTGTTATATTAATCTCCATATGAAGTATCATAATTAATATCTCAGCTAAGATCATTGCGGCTATTCCCCATTTGAAATACTGGGTTAAATATGGTGTCTTCAGCTGCTTATAATAAAAGTGTTAAATACAAGAACAAGAGAAAAAAAAAAAACTTTTATTCTGAATTACAGTAAGACAAATGAAAAAAAAAAAACTAAACTCAAGAATGACTTTTAGATGATTTCTTACTAAATATAAACATACATATGCTCAAAGCATTTTTTAACTTTTAAACTAATTTAACCAGAACTGTAATAGTTATCGCAAGACATTAAGTTCTAATGTCCTGGTAATCAACATATTAGGAAGTGAAACAGTAAGTTTGAAACTTAGATTATTAACAAAGCAGGAGTGTCTTTTAAAGTAAGGGCATGAGAACAGGTGCAGCACTGAAGCTTCTCCTTGGAGTATCTGACTTTAGGGAGGACACTAACAGTGAAGACCAACACTGTGGGCAGAATATTCAGAACCACAGAACAAACGCAGTGAGGAGTTGTAGCAAACAGGGAATGCACTTTAAAATCCACGGAGCACATTTGCAGCTTTCAGCAGTTACCAGGAAATACTTAGCGTTCTTCTGATTATGCTAATTTTAAAAGCTATTCAATGTTAGAAGAGTTCTACTTGTACAATAGCCGACAGAAAAAACTAAAAGCAAATCTTCTCTAATTGGGATTTCATCCACTTCATCCACTGAGCAAACTCCTTTTTTCCCATCCTTACATCCAAAAAAATGTGAACGCTGGCCTAATTTAATATTCTCTTGCTCGGACAGAAGTCATATCATACACACAAGTCCGAGTTTAGGAATGAGCACAAAAGGAAACTCCGAAAATCAACCACTCATTTAGGAAATAAGGAAGAGAGGGTGCTGGGAATTAACCCAGCCACTAGACATTCCAATCTTCCTATTGAAGAACTTGGAATTTCCAGACTCCAATATAATTTATAAAAAGTAGATCTTTATTGGTTTTACCATGTCCATTCATCAGGAACAGAACAACAGGCTTAATGATCATTTCATTTATGGTCTATTCTTTAAAACCTAATCTTTCACATAGGCTGATAATCCAGAACTGCCTTTTTTTTTTAAAGGAATTTATTCGTTATTTACAGGGCACACCTGGCTGGCAGCTAATATGTCATACACTGAGTTTAAACACTCCAATTTCAAACATGAGAAATGATCGTAGGGCAATGACTCAATTCCAATACACGAAGGCAGCAGACCATTATTCCTCACCTAGGTCAGCTGCCAATAAAACCACACGCACAATTTTAATGAACAAGTCTAGTTTAACTAACGAACCTGCCACTGACCTGAAAGAACTACTCTTGCAATTCTATAGAGTGAATTCATTGGTTTGTATAAGGCAAATAATGTGTAAAGTTAGAACAGAATTTCTAGAACCATTTGTCCTGTGATGTTGTAAAATCAAAGTACTACTTTATTAAATGAGTTATTTTACACAATATGAACATCAATATAATTACAATTGTAAAAAAATTTTTATAACAAGGATGGACTGATTTTCAGATTTCCAAATCAGAGTCAACTGTACATTTACACAGAATTGTCTTTGCATGAAGCCCAAAAGGGAACAGCATAAAAATGAGTGTTTCTGTAGCCCCTTTATTTTTGCTGATCAACAGTTTGTTAGAAAAGCAGCCGCAGGTTTGTTACCTAAGGTCTGAGACAGTAGAAGAGTCAGGAGTCATGAATTCACCTGTAAAACATAAGCAAAAGGTGACTGTAACCCCTGCACAAACACACAGATCACACGTCTAAGAAAAACCTACCAAGTCTCTGATATATCTGTCAGCTGGATTTTACAAACACATCTTTGATAAATTCACATTAAAAAAAATTATTTGCACACATACCACCCCCTTATCTTCTCTCTCCTAACCACAAAGAAAGAGTAAACCATTGATTTTGCAAGCAACTATCAAGTTCATATAGTCACTCCACCATTTTACCCTACAGTCCCAAGGCTTAGAAGCTCTGGTACTGAGCACTATAAATAAAGTAGCTGCGTAAAAAAAAAAAGGGGGGGGGGCCTTGAGAGACACTGGTCTCCACCCATATACAGCAAGCATCTACTCATCGCTCCATCTCTGGCTAATCTGGAGGTTACAAAAGCACTGGAAGGAATTGGTCTGGGGAAGAACTTTTAACAAATATCAACTGCTCTCGTAAGTTTTAAGTAACGCTGAAAACATTCTAGTGATGAAGTTAATTACATTAATTTAAAGGGGGAGTAATAAAGTTCTAGCAAGCAGAAATTATTTCACAACTAGAGAAGACAGTTTCCCTCTTGCATACTACCCTGACAGTAATAAGCCAACAGTCAATTACCTGTAAACAACTTTATGCCTGAACATCAGCCAATTCTGGAGGAAGTGGAGTCTTCGGATGCTTGCTTTCAAAGTGCTGCTTGAAGGTCTTAGGGTCTGGCATTTGTGTCTGATTTTTAAAATGTGCAAAAAGATAAGAGCTGGACTTTATTTATGAAATTTTAAAAATGTGCAACACTTAAAGATCTCGAACATGCTTATGACAGAGAAATACCTGCAAATTCTCTTACATTCCCACCACATGGCATAAGTAAGATAAGGAACCTTGTAACAAATTTCTAACATTTCCACATTTCACATACAGAGGCAGGCAACACAGAATGAAGTATTCAGTTAATCTGTTCAATCACAAATAACACGTAACATTCATTAAACCTTTCTTTTATGTTCAGCTTGTTGCCTTAGTTGCCATGTAACTTTCTCAGTATTTTTACTTCCCATCATCCTCATTTTATGTAAGCAAACTAAAATTTAATTGGCCAAAGACCTACTTAGTAATCTATTGGGAACTTTAACTCTCACATCCACACTACAAAGTACTGACTTCCCTTGGCAAGGACTTCTCTCAATTTATTCTTCAATACATTCAATTATATCACACATCAAATTAAAGTTTTTGGCTTTGAATTTTCAACGTATCAACCATTTCAGTATTTTTAGGTTATTTCTTCAAAACTGATCCGTGAAAAATTTATAAAGTTCCAAGCCTGTCAAAACTGTTAAGCTTCTCCAGGAGTTGGGCCTTGAGAAGTTATTTATCTATATCCTGTACTGGACCCACCCCATTAGGTATGGGCACTCCACCTGGCACTCCATTCACTAATTTTGAGAACTGAGCTTCCACAAGACCAAGACAGATTCTCCCTTGGGGTTCTAGACATTTCCTGGAGGTGGTATGTGACAATGCTCTAGTGGATGTTGCAGATGGTCTGTGTTTAAATCCTAGCTCTCCTCTGCAGCCCAAGTTAATGAATTAAACTCAGCTCTCTCGTAAAACAATAACACTGATTAATGTAATATGCATTAAATAGATGAATACATGTAAAACACATGGAGTAGTGCCTGGGACATGGAAGCACTCAATAGGTGTTACTATCATTCTTCCAACCCAATAAAACCCATCAATTCTAATAACAGCCCCAAGCACAAATATACTCTACGTAGCTTTGTTGACCGTCTACCTATGACTTTAGGGAAGAGGGAAAAGTCAAACACATAACCCAAACTGCCTTCAGTAGCATCTTCTATTGTGTAGTCAGATCTAAACTAAGAACGTAGATCCAGCTTCCTTACAAAATTCCGCATGAATCATATGTCCCTCTGAAGACATGTATTTTTCATGAGGCAACAGACTGGCTCACTCCCTTCTGTCTCCAGCACCCAAGAAAATTATGCTTGCCCATAGAAAATAAGAAAAACCATTTGGTTGACTGAGTGAATAAAGATGGGTTTCTAACTAGCTTTTAAATCCACTATTTCAGGTAAAGCATCTATTTTTGCATTATTGGCACCATTTTTATCCATACAAACCAATTTACAGAGAAAGAATTATCAAAGGAAACAAGGCCTCCCAATTCCCCTTACCCTACAGACAGTGCAGGTATATATCAAGGCAGCTTTGGCAGCAGCCTTTTGGTCATGTCCTTGCTTCTTCTTTTGTCCAGCTTGCTTTTTGGCATTTTTCTGCTGAGACTGGATCTTCTGCTGTCCACGAGCCATATCTAAAAACCAGAGATCGAGGCATTTGAGTGACCTGACACAGAGAAATAAGGCATTTTCACTTTGTCTTTTTCCAAACAGAATTAAAAGACACTCTATTTTATTTATCCCGAATTTACTGAAGCTCAACAGCAACAAGATAGTTCACATAATTAATTCTTTGGGTTAAGACTTTAAGTTTTGGGCCAGGCGCGATAGCATAGTGGTTAAAGTCCTCCCCTTGCACATGCCAGGATCCCATAGGGGGCCAGTTCTAATCCCGACAGCCCTGCTTCTCATCCAGCTCCCTGCTTGTGGCCTGGGAAAGCAGTTGAAGACAACCAAAGCTTTGGGACCCTGCACCCATGTGGGAGACCTGAAAGAGCTCCTGGCTTTGGATCGGCTCAGCTGTTGCAGCTGCTTGGGGAGTGAACCAAGGGACAAAAGATCTTCCTCTCTGTCTCTCCTCCTCTCTGTATATCTGCCTTTCCAATAAAAATAAATAAATCTTATTTAAAAAAAAGAATAAGTTTTACAGAAACATTCAGCAATCAAAACATACCTTTTTTCAAGGTGTCACATAAAATACTTTAGAGTATAAACTGGTACAACCACTATGGAAAACTGGTAAATATCTACAATCTAGTAATTCCACTGTTGGGATAAATCCAACAGAAATGCGACCATTCACCCTGGTCTGCTTCAAAACTCCACTGATTTCTTTACTTTAAAAATGCTTGTACTTTACTGTACATAATCCATAAAGTTTCTGAAAAAAAGTTTGACCCCCCCCCCACCAATTACTTGTAAAGGTACAATTTTTCCTTCCAGCATTATCTACTATGACTTGCAATTCTTATAATTTTAAGAGACAGAGGAGCTATCAGCTAGCCCTTCTAAAGATCACAGGAATAAGTGGAAAGTATTTTTAAATACTTAAGTTTCACAAAACAACTGTTCAGTCTAAATTTTCTTCCCAAAGTTGGTTTTCGCTATATTACCTCACAAACTAAGATTAATTTTACTCTCAGCTGAGAAAATGAACCTGTCACAAAGGTAAGGGTATCTACTTTTTACTATTGATGGCCTAAACGGAACCCAAATGGATAAAAAAAATGGTCAGCAAAAAAGGTTACTTTCACTTTTCCAGTAAAATGAAAGATTTCCATTAGCCAATACCAGTTAAATCTGTTCCTGAAGGGTCTACAGGCCTGTACCACTTTTTAAACACATTACAACCAGACCCCAAGTAGAACTCCTATGGAGTTGTGATTAGCATTGTAACCAAAGTTTCAACTTTTAAAACACTGTAGCACATGAACATACAATAGATCTAAATTAACTATACCCAGGAAGTGTGCTAGCTTTTTCTAATCAGAACTCTAAAGTAGTTGATGGACATGATGCCTAAGTATTAAACAACTGAGCTTTCTTCCTCTTCCAGCCCTCTAAAAAGAGAAACCAGATATACAAAAGGTTGGACAAAGTCTTACTACCATTAAACACAGAGAATCAGATAAGACAGAGGATCGAGCTGCTTCCAGAATGTGAATATTTTACCAATTACAAAGTGTAGTAAGCTAGCCTAATGGAAGAACCTCACTCCCACCAAACAGTAAATACAACCAGCTGTGTTAGTTCTTGAAGACTAAGCTTCCATTAAAAAAAAAAAAATTCCTCATTAATTTTAAGCCAAATGGAATGTCTCCCCCCACCAAGTATAGTTAAGTCCAAGTGTTATGGCAAGCTTACAAACCTATTCCCATGGAAACAGCTTTGGATACTTATGTATTTGGATGGTAGTAGTTAAATATTCAATCTTTATGTAAAAGTGCCAATGTTTTCACTCGAATAATATTCTTGATGCTTCAGTACCAGGGCCCTTATTAGAATACTTCAGTTCTCGCACACATGTAACTGTACCACTCGGTATATTTTACATTTTTAAAAGCACCGACTTTGTAACCTAATTTTTTACACTAAAGAGCAAAAATCTTACGAAAGGGTAACAAGTAATTCCAGAAGTTTCTTTACTAGGTACAAATTATTAGCTACTGGGATAACACCATACAGCGATCTGTACAAGGCAATGTCATTAGGAAACATCAAATTATTTTTAAATTCTCTATTTAGGACATCTCTTAAAGTTTTACATTACACGATAGACTTAACCCATTTTCCACTGTCACCTAACAACTAAAAAGAAAAAAGCCACGAAAGCTTAAATAACTAAAACGCTGAAACGCACCAGTCCACTTGTCTGTTTTAAGGCAGCAAGCTTAACCCCAGGTGAAGATTTTGAAATGGGATCCAACAGGCTCACTGCACGCGGTGGGCCCCTTCTGACAACACTCAACGTGGATTTCCTTTCCGAAAGCAGAAATGCAAATCAACACACCACCTGCTTTTGGACAGCTCAACTTATGACTCGCTCTCAAGCCCATCGAATTTTCTACAGAGTCTCACGCGTGGCTGGCTACTCCTCGATTCAATGTGACCAACAAAAGGGCAAGAGCCATTTCCAAATACCAACATGTTGGTATTTAATGCAACACTTGTTTGGCATGGTTTTCTGCCGGCGGGGGGGAGGGGGCGAGGGGGGACGGGTTGCAAACGGGGAAGTAGGAGAACTAAGGAGTTTTAAAATCAGGAGCTCAAGCAAGAGGCAACAAGCCGATCCCTTCGGAAAATCAAAGCAGGTGTGAGAAGAAAGGGATTTTTGGATCCAGGAAGTAAACTCATTCTCCACAACCATTAGAAAGAGGCCCAGCTCCACATCCAGACCGGAGCTGCCTGCTAAGTGGCAGCCTTTTGGGGAGAGGGGCGGATGCAAACGCCAGGGGGGCCAAGGTCGGCTCCACCCCACACGGGGCTGACCCCCCGCTGCAGCCCGGGGAGCACCTTCCTTCCTCCACCGGCTTTTCCCGCCGCGGGGAGCCCCCCGCGTTCCGCCCGCCCGGTCCTCACGGACCCTGACCCGAGACGCCACCTCCCGGAGGCCTCAGCTGCCTGGAACCCGACCCCTCGGACGCAACGCACTGGGAGCCCGGCCTCGAGCGACCGGGCCAGCTGCTATCGCCCGGGGTAAGGTTACGGCTCGGCCGCCACCACTCGGAGGGCTGAGGCCCGCGTGCGACCCGGCCACCTGCAAGGGGCCCGCCGGGCTCCCGCAGCTTCCCCCTCAGGCCCGCGCCGGTCCCTCGCGACCCCGCGACCCTCCGCCGGCCCGCCTCCCACCCCGGGCCCTGGGGCGCCAGTCAGCGCCCGCCCTCCCTTCCTTCCTTCCCCTTGCGGCCGCTCACCCGGGGCCGGGACAGTCCTGGTCCGAGAGACCACGCAGCAGCGCTTAGAGGGCCGGGGCAGGTCGCAGAAAGGGGAAGGGGGAACGCTTCCTGCACCGCTTCGGCCTCCTCCACCAGCCGCTGAAGGGGGAAAAAAAAAAGCGAGCGCCGGAGCACAACAGCCCGCGCGCCTCGCCAACCAGCCGCCGCGCGCGCCGCCGCCTCCGCCTGAGGGAGGCCACTCGGCCTCGTGCGCGCGCACGCCGCGCCGCCTGGCTCGCGCAGCCCCGCCCCGCGTCTTCCTGCGGCGGCCTCCCTCGCTCCCACTCCCGCCCGCCCATCCACTCGCATTCAAGCGCCCTTTCCGGCCAGCGGGCCAATGGCAGCGCGCCCCTATTACATCAGCGCGAGGGGGCGGGGCCTGGCGAACGGGAACGGCCCGGGATGTCGCCTGGCGTTCCCGGGCGGCCTTCCCCTTCAGCTCGCGTGTTTCTCTCTCTGGTTCTGTGGGCGGCTTCTCTGCCCAGACCCGGGCGGCCGCGTGACCTCGGTCGTGGCCTGGTCGCTGGGGCGCCGCGTGTCTCATGAGTCTTCCCTTCGCTCGCTGGCTCACTCACTGGGGCAGCGGCCCGGTTTCTGCCTCCGCTTCCCCTCGTGCGGCTCCCGGCGGCGGAGCTCTCCTGGCTGAGGTGCCGGGCCTGGGAGCGCCCCGAGAGGAGCACCCGTGCGGGTGTGTGTGCGGGTGAGGCCGGGGCGGATGGCGCTGACGAGCTGCGCGCAGCCTTTGTTCTCTCACCCGCCGCCCCTGTACTGCAGAGCCGCGGAAACCCCGGCTGTGTGACTCAAACCTGGGCTGTTTGAGGGAATTGGAGAGTCAAGCCTGAGCCCCGTGCAAAGTGGGCGGCTCGGCCTCGCTGAGCTGTCTGGCCGGCTAGTAGCAATTCACCGAGCTGTTACATTTTGTAGTGAGAACTGAACGTTTTTGTGGAGCGCACTGTGGTGTGTGAATACGTGAACGGTGATGACCAAGTCAAGAGAAACAAGTCTCCTGGGTCGTTTATCGTTTAAGATGAAAACAGTCAAGCTAATCTTAGTTTTTTTTTTTTTTTTAATTTTACTGATTTAAAAGGCGAATTTTTACAGAAAAGAAGGAGAGACAGGGCTTCCATCTGCTGGTTCACTCTCCAAAAAAACCACAAGAGGCAAAACTGAGCTGATCCAAAGCCTGGAGCTATGGAGCCTCCTCCGGGTCTCCCAAACGGGTGCTGGGTCCCAAGGCTTTGGGCCGTCCTCTGTTGCTTTCCCAGGTCACAACCAGGGAGCTAGTTGGGAAGTGGAGCAGCTGAGACATGGCATCCATATGGGATGCCACTGATGCAGACAGACGCTTACCATGCTATATCATCGGGTCAGCCCCTAATTTTAGTTTTCAGCAGCATTGAAGTTGTTATGTGCACTCATCCTACCCTGGAATGGAATACCACAACTTGCCAGTGATCTAGAGACTGGTCAAAGTTACCTGACCAAGAGCAATGGCAGTTAGGGGATTATTACATTGGATTATCTGGAAAAAAGCATTTGAGACATCAGCTTTATTCTGCTTTCTTAAGCCTCCCGACGTTCCCCACCTACTCAAACGTACACAGTGGTCTAATGAAAGCTGTCAATGACAAGAAAAGAACTTTTGGCATTTAATGTTCTCATTAGCCTCTAAATCTGTTTGCTAGTGCCCAGGAAAGTGTTAGTTGAGTGTGGATATAGACCCCCAAATCTGTCCTCATATTCTGGGAGTGGTATGTGGCTATCACAGAGATGTTTGGTCAGGAAGGTGTCTGGGTCTGCCGTGGTCTGCAGGTGCAGTCTCTAGTTGGAGCCCTGTGGCACTCCACTTGTGTTTACATGAAGCAGTGATAAAGGGAGAGGGAGTCTTATAGCTTCTGGTTCACTCCCCAAATGTCTGCAAACTGCTCCAGGTGGGCCAGGCCAAAGACAAAACGCAAGCGCAAGGAACTCCATCTCAGTCACCCAGTGGGTGACAAGAACCCAGGATACTTTCTGCCACCTCCGAGGCCAATGAATAGAAATCTGCTTTGGAAGTGTGGTGTCTGGAGTGCCAACTCTCACTCTGCAGATGCGGGCATCCCGCTTGGCAGCTTAACTCTTTGACACACTTCATTTTTCATACGCTTCCCTCCTCTTAAATCATGTGTTTAAATTTAAATCATGTGTTTAAATTTTGTCCCTGTCCCTCTGGGACTAGATTCTAGGGTCTTGGCCATATTGCACCAGCGACAAGCAGTGTGTTAAACTTAGGAGTTGAATCAGGGTATATTGACCAAATGAACTGTGTCAAAAGAGAGCAGGTTCTTTGGGTGGACATAAAGCTTTAGCTTAATCATTACTAGTCACCATCACCGTAGTAGTTTTAGTGGGAAAAAGCAACACAAGTTATAGAGTAAGGAAATCCTTGTGTTTTGTCAGGCCATGAATGACCATGGCTACTGCAAAGGGACCATGAAATCCAGCTGATAGTTTTCTTACCAGACAGGTTACTTTTGTCACCTCCTGAATCTGTTTTCCATAGCCTAGATAAAATATTTATTCAAGCCAGCGTTCCTTAAGTTTCAGTTGTGCCTCCTTTGAGAATTTGGTGAAAGTATCAACTTTGTCCACAGACTTCAGCTTACTGCAAAATTCACAGCCCTCAATTTATCCCCCAGAAAGATTTTCTTAATCTCGGCAACACTGATATTTGAGCCAGATGATACTTTGTTTGGGGTTCTGTTCTGGGGACTGTGGGCTGTTTAGCAGCATCCCTGCCTTCTACATTTCCAGTTGTGACAATGAAAAACTGTCTCCTCAGGAATCAGAATCTTCCTGGTTGAGATCCACTTCTGGAGGATGTGGCATACGGGTAATTGTATATGATTAAAACATGTGAAAGATGAAGGGAAAGAATGAGGCCAGGAATGGATGACCAACACAGAGTACATGAAAGGCGGATCAAATAGCATTACTACCAGTTGATGGCCTACTTATGTTAAAGATATGCAACAACAGGGCCCGGCGGCTGAAGGCCTCACCTTGATGTGCTGAGATCCCATATGGGCGCTGGTTTTAATCCAGCAGCTCCACTTCCCATCCAGCTCCCTGCTTGTGGCCTGGGAAAGCAGTTGAGGATGGCCCAAAGCCTTGGGACCCTGTACCCATGTGGGAGACCTGGAGGGGTTCCAGGCTCCTGGCTCCGGATTGGCACAGCACCAGCCATTGCGGTCACTTGGGGAGTGAATCATTGGACAGAAGATCTTCCTCTCTGTCTCTCCTTCTCTCTGTATATCTGACTTTGTAATATAAATAAATAAATCTTAAAAAAAAAAAAGAAATGTAACAACAAATGGCATATGAAGTACTCCAGGTTTTTGTGTACCTCTGGTTTTGATTGTGAGTGCTGTAGTAATCCTTCTGATTATTCTTCCTCTTCTGCCGTTAGACAGTTATTCTAGAATAACAAATGAGCATGTGATGCTTTCCAAAATCAAAACAGAATAAAATGCTTCCCTGAAGACTAACAAGGCTCACATGTCTGGATTCATGTAGGGTTTTCAGAGATGAAAGACTTGGCCATTGATCCGTATGTTATTTCCTAGAAAAATGGATTATTTTGAAGACATTTATCAATTTGTCTGGGTATGTAGGTTAATATCTAAATGTAGGAAAGTACTCAGCGCAGAGGTTTATTCGAGAACAAAAGAGAGGAGTACTATTACGACCTAAATATGTATTTCACTCCATCTGTTTAAGAAACTGTTAAGTAACTAAGGGACAAAATGGTCAGTATGTTATCTAAGATTACACAGCTGGTGAAGGGGCAGGCTTTGGTTTGGCTCCTACCAGTCTGGTTCTTGTTCTGCACCCTCCGTGTGAGTTGTGGATCTGCTCTCTTTGTCTCTGTAGCCAGCATTCAGCATTGCACCTGGCATGATGTAGGCACCTAGTAAATATCTGTGGAATGAATCCGTGCCCAAGTAAGCCCTGTGCGTCAGATCTCCTAGGCGCCTCGGAGCAGGCTTACTTTGTTAACAATGCAGTTATCTTACTGTGGCATTCTTACCTGTTTATCCAGCTACTCCCTTCCTGATTATGAGCTTCCTGAAGGCTTGAGTTATGTTTTGTTCACGTGTATTGAGTGCAGTGCCTGTTCCATGCTGGATAGAGAAGTGTCTGCAGGAATGGGTGAGATCAGAGGCAATGGAGTATGAAAGAAGAGCTGTTCCTGGCATTCAGTTAAGTAACACACATACTTAGGTCTACCCTCTTGAAATTCCTCAATTCCACACAACACAATGGTAAAGCAGTTTGTGAAAAGGTAAGTCAGGAAGACAGCGAAAATAAGTGAGAAGTCTTTGTGGCAGGAATTTGGAATAATCAGAGTTACTGACGTAAGAGAGGTGACAACATGGTGTAGCCTGGATGCCATTTTTTTAGGTAAATATTTTAAAGGTTTATTTATTTGAAAGGCAGAGTTATCAGGAGAGGGGGAGAGATAAAGACATCAATCATCTACATCATCTACTGGGTCACAGGTAGACAAAACAACTCCAGGTCAAAGAATTAGGAGCCAGGAGCTGGGACCAGGAGCCAGGAGCTGCTTCTGCATCTCCCATGTGGGCTCAGGAGCCCGAGTGCTTGGACCATCTTTTACTGCTTTCCTCCATGCATTAACAGGGAACTGAATCAGAATTGGAACGGCCGGGAGTTGAACCAAGGCTCATAAGGGATGCTGGCAGTACAAGCAGTACTTTAACCCACAGTACCACCATGCTGCCCCCCCATGCTCCATAATTGGGTGCTATTTTAAAATAAAGGAACAATAAGAGAACAACAATAAAAACATTCTGGTCTTTACTTATCTCTATCCATCCACCTATCTGGTAGCAGAAATGTAAACTCAGAAAAAAGCTTGAGAACAAACGTAGATAAAATTTAAATATAAGAAAGAAAGGCCGTAAACTGAAGAATTACTTCAGTAGGCCCTACATCCTCCTAAAAGACATTCAAAGGAAAGGAAAACAGAGAGGAAAAACTTTTTTTTTTAAGTTAATTATGAAAAAATCTATCACACTAAACAAATGAGTAAAAGGCCCTGGTGAATTGGAAAAACCCATACCTAGACAAAGCTAAAAGAGATTTCAGGGCAATTGAGGACAAAGAAAAAACTT